CCACGCTCTCACAGAATACCAGCGTAAAATGGCAGCTTAACACTGCTGTGTTTCGAATGGTAAGGGTAGAGAACCGGAGACCCTATTTACTGGAAAAGAGGCATCTTAGTCCTCACGGGTGAAAACGCATCTGCATTTTGATTCGTAATCGAGGATAGATGTGGGTGTCTATGGGTCACAGCAACTACTTACCATCAGGTGGACTGTGTGCTCGTTTGTCACCCTATTCTATAAAAAAAATATTTGATATTGACAATACAATAACTCTTTCTAAAACTTTTATCACTGGCTTGTGAGTTTCAAAGTAAAGCAATTTTAAAGTATGTGTATAAATGTAGAGTTTTTATTTAGTTTAAAGTATCGATTGCACAGTGACACCGCAAATTTACTAATTTTGCTGATTAACCATAATATTAATTGGCTTTTTTGGTTTTACCTACATTGCGAGTGCAAACACAATTTTACATCTTTCACCTTAGTGGAAAATTGTTCAGAGATTTCTTGAGTATTTTTCATTCTTTTTCATCAGACTGTAAAAGTTTTTTATAGACTAAATGTAACAAAGGAGCATACAGTCCACCTGATGTAAGTGGATGATGTGGCTCATAGACATCTACATCTATGCTCGATTAAGAATCAAAATGGAATGCATCAGCCATGGGGACTCAGATAGAATGCCTTGTTTCCAGTAAAAATTGTCCACTGCTGAACACGGCCTACCCCAAAGAATGCCACAAAGCACAGTCCTAAGCCACCTGCATCCATCGACTTCCTGCATGTCACTCCATCTAGTGGAGGGTACGCCCTACACTTCGCTCTACCTTTCTTCTCTATCGTTTTTCGGTTCTTCTAACTAACATTTTGCTCTAACACTAACATTGCCACTTCAGCTTACTAATCCATGGGGCTATGTCAGTTATTCTGGTTCATCTGCGGATATCCTCATTTCTATGTTTTGTCACGCAGGGAAACCCAGAACAATGGCCCTCTCCACAGCTCGCTGAGCAACCTTTAGCCCTAGCAGTGAAAGACAATGTCTCTGATCCATAAGTCATCACTGATAACATGCACTGGTTATGCAATCTCGTTTTCAAGTTTTGAGGCGTACCTGACGAGAAGAAGATGTGTCGAAATTTCCCGAAAGCTGCCCAGCCGAGTTGAATCCGTCGATTGACCTCTCGGTCGAAATTGGGCTTACCTAGTCGGACTATTTGTCCCAGGTAAACATACTCGTCAACAGCTTCGAGCTTAGTGCTCCCAACAACTACCGGCATAGGTGTGACATGGACGTTACACATGACTTTTGTTTTGTCCATGTTAATTTTTAGACCTATCCGTTGGGAAGCACTATTGAGGTCATTGAGCATAGTTCTTAGGTCCTTCAGAGATTCTGCCATAAAGACTATATCGTCGGCAACTCGAAGCTGAGTGATGTACTCTCCAGTGATGTTAATACCGTATCCTTTCCAGTTCAGTAGCTTGAAAACGTCTTCCAATTCAACGGTAAATAATTTCTGGGATATAACGTCACCGTGTCTTACACCTCTTTGCAGTTGGCTGTGTTTCGTACTCTGGTTTTGTACTCCGATAGCCATCGCAGCCCTACTGTACAAACACTTCAGTTCTTCGATATACTAACAGTCAACTTGGCAACGCTGAAGGGACTTTAGCACCACCCAAATTTCAAAGCCAAAAATGAAAGGCTTTCTCATAGTCACAAGAAAAAGTGGCAGATCGTACTTTTCGGTCTTCTGTTCAATTCGCTGAAGGTTATATATGTGGTCTATGATCCTAAAGCCTTTTCGAAAACTGGCTTGTTCGAGCGGCTTGAAGGTCGTCCAGTCTCCGTGCGAGACAATTCGTAATGACTTTCGAAAACACCACGTAAACACAGCTCAGAGGGGAAAGCGGTCTGTAGTTCTTCAAGAGAGCGTAGTCGAATTTCTTGCAGAACAAGACTACCGCACTTTTGCTCCACGCCTTTGGAAAAAAGAGCCTCTGAAGGACTTGAAGTATTGGTTTTCCCCTGCTTTCAGAAGCTCAGTTGTAATTCCACTTTCGCTCGGGGCCTTGCCGTTCTTAATGTACTAGAGAGCCATTCTAATCTTGCTTAGACTGACGTCTGGGATATCATCAGAATAGTGTCGGATAAAACTTGCTCTTGGATCGTTATTCACACTTGCGTGTGGCTCCAACGATGGCGTGTACAGTTGCCCATAGAACCTCTCAATCTCACTCAAAATCTCAGGTGTCCCGGAAACAATGCTTCGACAGTTGGCTCTTTCTGGCAGACATGTATCTGGCAAAGGTTTTGGAGCCCTGGTTTCGCTCGATCGCTTCTTCAATACGAGCTGTATTGAAGTTGTGTAAGTCCCGCCCCATCTCACTGGTTGTGAGAACGTGGTCCTGCCCCGGTGGCAGACAGATTAATAATATAATATAATAATAAAATATTACAAAAATAGATAATGTTATATATACCGCTATGTATTGAGAGCTAAAAGATTTTTCTGGAATGACTCATAGAATTTAGAGAAAATCTACTATTTTATAACTTCTGCCACATTGCAAAGTAAATCAAATTTCTGTCTTAATATGTCACATACAGTAATTTATAATATTAAGTGTATATAAATATTTAAAAAAAATGGTCAAATGTGCAACATACAAATGATACCACGTGCCACCATTTCTTGGAAAACAGGTTATGATACTAAGACACCATTTGATTATTTTATTACAGCCTCAGCCTCTCTTTATTATATATACAATATGTAACAAAAACCCTGTGGTTCCCGTTAAGTACGTTATCATGATCATTATTCAAATGTATAGAAATAACTTTTTTTTAAAAAACTATTATATATATATATACAGTGTGCAAAATTTTATTGCAATCAGTTCAGTAGTTTAGGAGTTCATCGCGGACAAACAACGTGACACGTAATTTTTATATATAAAGATATAATAAAGAGAGGCTATTATTACTACTTTTATTACTGTCTATCAAAATTACTCATTACTCTCCTGCTCCTACTTCAGAAGTTGTTACGTAGAAATTATTTTATTTTGTTTTTAAAGTCACATTTAATTAAAAAGTTTATTGATAACTGATTGGTTTTCTGTGTAATGGAACGCACCAGGTGACTTGCCATAAACTATAAAAAAGCGCAAATTATTTCTTATCACTAGAACTTCATTGAAGGAAAATTTAATTTACTGTAACAATGAATCTGATAAATTGAATTGAGCTTCAGAAATAGAAATTGTTTGTGTTTTAGTTTTATTATGAATGTTTTGGCTCGTGTGGAAGTAACATTGATTTCTTTTTTTTACTGTAAATTTCTAATTTACCAAGATTATACCTTTGTTTTTTTTTGTGAAATACTAAATAGCATTAAAATTCACAGATTCCTTTATCTCATCGACACTTCAAGAATGCTCTGATATCTTATGTTCTAATGTGCTTGACGAAGTATGTGGTTTGGCAAGGTCATCTGACGGTGTCAGCGTGATAAAAAAATTTCATAATGCATGTCATCTGGAAAAAATTAAATGTTCCCTGCAATCGGTTACTGGTAAAAGTATTTTAAAGATAATATAGACATTCCTTCTCCTTTTAGTCAATTCTCAAAACTCATTTACAGGAGGGCTTTTTGGAAAAGTTGGTCCGCCGCGAATACCAGTGCGAATTTTTTTAATGTAAAGTAAGAGGGACAAAAGAGCACACAGTCCACCTGATAGTAAGCGGATGCTGTGGCCCATAGACATTTACATCTATCCTCGATTAAAAATCAAAATGCAAGCTAAGATGGAATGCCGTATATAATAAATATTAATAATGATGAATTTTACGTTGGTTTTTATTTTTTTGTAACGAAGTAACTTATCGGACGGTACGAATTTGGCGGATGGGGGCAAGGCGAGAAAAAGTGTAAGACTTTTCCGTCACGACCCCTTCTGACGTAGTATAAACGGCTTTGGCGGCTGTAAGGAAGTGAGATGGAATAATATCCATCGCCTCGCACTTTCTCTTATCTTACCATGAAAGAAATATTATTTAAAATGACGTTTAATTTTAATAAACGCTAGTAATTCATTTATTTGTATTTGTTAATCAATAATATAATACGTTTATCAATAATAATATACTACGAAAGGAACTTCGTTCCAACTGGGTGTTCCACGTCACTCACGCATATTTTTTTATAGAAAAGGGTGACAAACGTGCACACAGTCCACGTGGTGGTAAGTAAATGCTGTGGCCCTTAAACATCAACATTTATTCTCAATTAAGAATCAAAATGCAGATGCCTTGTCACCCCTTAGGACTACGTAGAAAAGTAAAAAGGGTATCCGATTCTCTACACTGACCATGCTACAGACACAGCAGACACACCAAGAGTACCAGCTTAATGTTTAAGTTATTACTTAAATATTACGCTGGTACTCTGTGAGAGCGTTGTGGCGCGATGGCAGCGTGGTCCTTCCCCGGTCGAGCCGAGCTATTCTTGCTTCAACGCAGATCTATATGAGCAACTGCGTGGCACCCTTACGTATATATACGTATTGGCGGCCTTCAGTAGTTTTTGATATATTTTATTGCTCAGAAATGCCGATTTATTGGTCATATTTTCCATTTTATGTGATAAATCATCACTTAATATCATTGGTGCCGGCTGGGAGAGGCTTCCTTGTTTTAAGTTTGTTGCATTTCTTTACGTCCATTGGTGGCTGCACTGGCCACTGCACTACACATCTTCAGGCGGTCTCTCATCTTGTCATTTCACTATGCAATGTCATGAAAAAAGTATTTTTAGCAAGAATCTCTATTTCAAAACGTATATATGACTCCATTCTTCAAAATGTCATTTGAAATTTTATATACTGTGTGACGGCGGCGGTAGAGAATGTTTCATCCACTTTGGGTTTGGGTGTAGAGAAGAGGCGAAAAATCTCATGATCTTATATAAATACCACCATAATATAGCGTAACCCAGATGAAAAATATTCAGAATGGTGACGGTTAGTAGCGTCAAAGGTAGGGGCGTATCTACCGCCGTATCATCTGTATCAATAACACGGGGCCCCGGGCTATAGGGGCCCTCGGAATATAGGGACCCCGAACTTGTATAAGCAAAACTTCAAAGGACTTCTATGGAACAGTAAAGGCTATCAGACTTGTCACTATTGTCTATAGGGGCAGAAAATTAAAAAAAAAAAACTGAAATCGTCTTCAGTTATGAATTATATGATATAATAAATAAGTTCGCTGAAAAAAAGGCAAGAAAAGTGTACATTTTAATTAAATTGTTTGCCTAGTTTAGTTCCCAGGAGTATTAATTGTAAGTAATAGCTTATAGTACTGTGTAGTGGCGGTTAAGAATATCCACTACCTCATATCTTCCCGTGGGTGTCGTAAGAGGCGGCAGTAGGGAACAGGCAGGAGATGGGCAGTAGTATCTTCTTGCGCATGTGGACTATAAAAAAGCCTTTGATTTTTGCCCTTGAAATTTGGGCGGTGCTAAAGTCCCTTCAGCGGTGTCAAGTTGACTGTTAATATATCGAAGTGCTGAAGTGTTTTTGCAGAAGGGCTACGATGGCTGTACGAGTACAGAACCAAAGTACGAAACCTATCCAACTGCATAGTGGTGCAAGACAGGGTGACGTTATATTCCCGAAACTCTTCACCGCTGCATTGGAAAGCGTTTTCTAGGTACTGGACTGGAAAGGATACGGTATTAACATCAATGGTGAGTTCATTACTCATCTTCGATTTTCCGACGATATAGTGCTTATGGCAGAATCATTGGAGGACCTAAGCACTATGCTCAATGATCTTAATAGTGTCGCCCAACAGATAATTCTTAAGATGAACATGGACAAAACAAAAGTCATGTGTAACGTCCATGTCACACCTATGCCGGTAGTTGTTGGGAGCACTAAGCTCGAAGCTGTTGACGAGTATGTTTACCTGGGACAAATAGTCCGACTAGGTAAGTCCAACTTCAACTGAGAGGTCAATCGATTGATTCAACTCGGCTGGGCAGCTTTCGGGACATCTTCTCGTCAGGTACACCTCAAAACCTGAAAAGGAGACTGTACAACCATTGCGTGTTGTCGGTGAATTTTATAGTAGCCACGCTTGGCAGCCCTTTTTGTTTCAACTTGAATATAAAAATATGAGTAAAATCAATGAAAAGGAACTAAGGTGTCGTAAGAGGTAAGAGAGGGTTTGTTTCCAGGAGATGTGCAGCAGCGTCTTCCTAATAACAACTAACCAAAAAACTGCGGTTGCCAACTCGCCTGCCTAGCGTGACAGCAATGTAAATACGAGTGAAATTTTCGGGAATCAAGGAAGTGACACAACATTACTATTTAAAAATGTATTTATTGCTTTTCGAACTATTCTCCGCGAAATTTGACACATTTTTGACACGATGGAACCAATCATTGAAGCAACCATTTCATTCGGAAGTTGGGGTCTCCAAAATGGCCGTTTTGTAGGCGTCCACAGCTTCTTCAGGTGTCTCTCTCTCTATCAAAATCTCTGTCCACGCAATTTATTCTTTATTTTAGGGAAAGTATAGAAATCATTAGGGCTTAGGTCGAGGATGTACGGCGGATGGTCTAATAATTCTATGTTTTCTTGCTCTAAAAACTCGTTTGTTCTGTGTGCGGTGTGAGAACTCGCATTGTCGTTATGGAGGATGATGCGGCGGTTGCAATTCTCTTTACGGAGTTCAGAAACGACCTGTGGCAAACAAATGATAGCATACCATTCTGCATTAACCTTTCTTTGTCCCTCTAGAGGAATAATCGTAACATGGCCGGTTTTGGAGACAAACGTGACCACCATTTTTTTGCAACACTCCGTGAACGAACAATTTTTGTTGGCTTTAACTCATTTTCGAACACCCAAACTCGTGACTGGTTTTTTGTTTCGGGTTCGTACGCATATATCCAGGATTCGTCACCTGATACGATGTTGTATACAGCATTTGAGGATCCTGCGTGGAATTTTTCGAGAGTTCTGACGCACCAAGTAACGCGAGCCGCTTTTTGCTCTTCACAGAGCGGATGCGGTATCCATCGGGAAAACAACTTTTTTACACCTAATTGTTCATGCAAGATTATTTGTATTTGACTCATGCCAATGTCTAAAGTTGCCTGAATTTCGCGGTATATCACATGTCGATCTTCCTCAATCAGCTTACGCACAGCATCAACGTTTTCTTGTGTGACTGCAGTTTTTGGACGACCTTGACGGGGATCATCACTGAGCTTGACACGTCCACGTTGAAATTCTGCAAACCAGCGATAAATTGTGGTTTTGGATGGGGCTTCATCACCAAAAGCAGAAATCATCCGGTCAACACACTGTTTTTGTGTTAAACCACTTCGAAAGTCATAATAAATCATCGCTCTTGAATTTTCTCGAGTCAATTCCATTTTCTCAACGACTAAAGAAGTTTGACAAAACCTTGTGACAAGACCGAGAATCTTTTTTTAAATAGATAAATGGTATTCGATTTTTAAAACCAAGTAGTTTTCAGTTAAAAAGATTTTAATATGACAGGAACAGTGGAAATATTCCATTCCCGATACTTTTAGTGCAGCCTATGTATCCCCCCTATGGGTCAATCTACAATGGAGGCCTATGTTCAGTATTAGACTTTTGCCAGGCTTTAATGGTTGTTGTGTTTCCTCATATGGCCATATGAGGAAGCTCAAGGTCACTCAGCGAGCTTTGCTCAGGGTTTCTTTGCGTGATCAACTTAGAAATGAGGATATCCGCAGTAGAACCAGAGTGACCGACATAGCCCAAGGGATCTGTAAGCTGAAGTGGCAATGGGCCGGCCATATAGCTCGAAGAACCGACAACCGATGGGGAAAAAACTTTCTAGAGTGCCAGCCTCCTACCAGTAGGTGAAGTGTAGGGCGGCCTTCCCACTAGATGAAGTGTCCACCTCATAAGACATGCAAGAAGTCGATTGATGCAGGTGGCTCAGTACCGTGTTCTTTGGCATTACTTGGTGAAGGCCTATGTTCAGCAGTGGACTTGTGAAGGGCTGTAATGATGATGATGATGATGATGATGAATAGCTTATACTCGATATATAATTATTTTATTTAAAGGGAGAGCTTTGGTTCCTTTTGTTAAACCAAAAACCCTTCAATTGGGCCCACCAATAAATATTGATACAGGGCCCGTAAAGCACGATACGCCACTGGTCAAAGGTGCGATACATTTAGAATGTGATCAATAGTCCGCCTACCAATTTCGTCAATTGTAACATAATATTCTCCCTACAATGGGAAAGTCCCACGTCCAGCAATAGATTGACACGGGTTAACGATCAAGATATAGAAGTATAAAAACAGGTTTAATTTTTCTACAGATTTGCATCAAGTTCCCGATGAGCTATGTAACATAAAAAACAAAATCAAGTACCCTTATGCAAGCGGACGACGTGTTCATGACTTCAGTATAATGGGAGCTAATCAAGCATGTAATCACACTTGTCCTACATTTTGTGTCGATACTTATGAGCCTGTTTGTGCGATTATTACCACAGCGAACTCATATCAGAAGAGACCAATGATAAACCACTGTCATGTAGATTTATTATCTTGCGCATTGGGAGCCAGTAAGTATTAAATTTGAATTGTTAAAAATACATGATTTGACTGAATCCTAAGTATTAAAATTTAACTTTTAATAAAAAGTAAAAGCCGACTTCGAAGATAAAAACAAAATTTTATAATTTGACATTCTGAAGTCAATGTTTAGACATAGTGTATTATGGAAGTAAGAAAGCCGCAGATAACGTAAAATTACCCGCTTTATTCTTTATTAAGTAAGTCTCTTTTCTTTTGGTTTTTACATACTATGAAAAGTATTTTTTTTTTACCTTTTTGAATGGACTAGCTAATATTACATCTCAATGTCGGCTGATAGTTTTACAATAAAAATTGCGTCCTCTATTCTTCTCCAAATTGGTACCACTCCTGAAGCATAATCATCATTTAAATAAATAAAAAGTCATCAAAATCTGTTTACAATTGACGAAGATGTTGCGTAACATACATAAAAAAATTAAAGACTTTTTTGAAATAGACTAAAAAGATCATTGTTTAATTATAATTATTTTTAACAACAGGAACTATGTGATAAATGAAAATAACGTTAGAGAGTTCACCAATTAATTCTTATATTGTGATTACTTTGCGAAATTTTCTTCTTCTTATTATTGTACAGATGTAACATTAGAGCCTATGACATTTTGTTATATGTCTGCATCGAGACTTGTGTTCATGATGCAAGCAGCTGCTTTAAAGAAGATGGGATTGATCGACAGCCCTCCACACAACAACGAGAAAAGAACTTCAGCCCAAGGCTAGGTTGAAACATAAGTGTTAAAATGTATAGTAACATAGATGTGTAATATTATTTTTATTAAATCTATACAAATAAATAAAATTGAAGTGTTTGTTTGTAATGTCAAAATAAGAGCTTTTTACTAAATACACATGAAAGTAGTATACGGTACGAGTATACGGTACTTATAACAAAAACGCTGTCTGTCTGTTTGTTCCGGCTTATCTCCGAAACGGCTTGACCGATTTTGACGGCACTTTCTCTGACAGATAGCTAATGTTATAAGGAGTGACTTAGGCTACTTTTATTTTAGAAAAAGATTTAGGGTTGCGCGCAAAAAAAAAATCAACCCCCCCCCCCCTCCATTTTACCCGCGGGCGATGTAGCGGTGTACAGCTAGTAAGCAATAAAAGTGGAATTTAAAACCACTCTTCCTTTCCGGTCCATGTTCTTACGGGGATTATTAATATACCAAGAAGCAAATGCTAAAAGATATATTTACCAAAAATGATTGTGCCTCCTAATTGATAGCTACCGATTGTTCGGTAGTTGTCCTATTGTCGAAAATCGGCCAGAGTGACTTTTACACACTTTTCAAATACTCTTTCGATTAATTACATCACGTGGGTTCGTTTATTTTGCCTCGTCTGCCGCCGAAAACTACTTCATAAATCATACTGACCGTGCCGCTCTCACCACTGCTTCTTCCTCACAGTCGACCTCATTGCTTTCGTCACGAAGGCGGCCTCTGCGTTTCATTTTTTTAAATAATAAACACTAAGAGTATAGAATACTAAAATATTATATGCGGCAAAAGCCACGATGTAGCTTTATAATGGCTGCGGCACGAATGACTCATGGAAGGATCACACTCGCACTGAATACTGGTGTAAAATAACAGAATACAACTCCTGTGTATCATATGTTAGGTGATAAGAACCAAAGACCCATTTTACTGAGAACGAGGCATTTCACACCAATGCGACAAATCGTGATTTTTATAAATCGGGTAACTCATCATCATTTCAACTTATCAAAGACGCTGCTGCTCATCTCCTGTTTTGTTTCCATCTCTCGCCTATTATGACACCCACAGGACGAAATGGGGTAATTAAAAAAAAAAACTAAAAATCATTTATTTCGGAATTAGTCCATATCACACTTCATAATTACATATCGAAATTAAAATATTAAAACAAAGTTATGATGTCAATTTTATATGAATTACTTAAGAAAAAATTCATTAAAACAAAATTATTACAATTACTTAAATTCATATAAAATACACAAACACAACAAAACAGAAATACAGCGCTAACGTAATCTAAATTTAGGTTTAGATCCGGAGTACTCGGCATGCAGCCTGGTCCAGTGTAGCATTAAAATCCAGATCCATCCGCCGGGCGAACAGTTGCATGTAGGCATTTGAGTCGACCCGACTCGCTTTCGAATGATCGTTGCGAATCCGTCTATATTTGCATCCACAAACTTCCCTGATGCGTTACAGTAGCGTGGCAGCTTCATCAGTGCTCTGAAGGCGTTATTGTATATAATGCATAGGGCGTCGTAAGATGTTTTTGTGTTGGTACTTGGCCCATAGGCTGCACGTGTAAAATGATTAGCAGAATGTTCTAAACAACGTAGCCTTTATTTCTGCAGTACAGCTCGCAAACCTACGTGCTGCCAACATATTGGCCCGAACAGACAACGCCCTATGCTCCATCTATATCAATATCGTCTGAAAGCGTCTTAGTGATCCAGTGGCCCAAATATTTGAACTGCGAATTTTTTTCAGGACACAGCCATTTAGCGTGACTGATGGGACAGTGTAAGTATTTGATCCCGCCTTAAACACCATGAGCTCACTTTTAATGGCGTTGTATCTCAACCCATAGGCCTCAGCATGACGCTTGTAAATCGAAATTAGTGTTCCAAAGACGCTGATCGATAGACTCAGCAGCACCATGTCGTCTGCATAACTGATGTTGTTGACAAGAACGCCATCAATCGAACACCCAGCACCAGCGCCGCTAAGCTCACGTATCAGACGGTCGATGTACAGGTTGAAGAGATTTGGCGATGTTAACCCGCCTTGCCTTACACCGCACCGCACTCCAATCTGTACTCGTCTGATAGTGACCCCGAGCCCCGCACAAAATTGCTCTGATTCCCATACCAGTACCGACCGAGCCTTTGTTAGAAACTAGTACATACACGCCGCGTACAGATACACTCGCTGCGATTATTGAAGATCTTCCGGTCACCGAAACGAGTTAGACAGTTCGTACCGCCGCGCCCGTAGCTACCGACTCTGTACATAAGATTTTTAGAAGTTAAAGCAAATGGAATGTAATACCTCCGAAGAGCTCGCCGCGATTAGAAGAAAACAGCTTGAAATCGAAAGAATTGATTAAGAAGAAATATGCTAGGGACATCGTGCAGTTACAAGAAGAAACTGATAGGGAAAGTTTAAACGAAGACAAATTAGCCGAAAATAGGAATTGTGTCGACCAACGGTTAGATAACGTGGACACTGTGCGGGGGGAGCTGCCCTGCCGCCCATCTCAGCCCGCACCCCGCATCAATCAAGTGCAGGACCCGCCGAACATGGGGACCGATTACGTACCTGCGCTACCCGTGTATGTTGAAGATGAACTAGGGAGGACGGTCGTGAATAATGATCAGCCACGTCACGCGAATATAGCACAGAGGGATAATGGAGTCGCCGTAGAACCGAATCAGGTGAATCGTCATGTAAGGACTACGTCGCCGACGCGCGCCCAACGCCGCACTCTAGCGCCAAAACATAGGTCACCATCGCCACATCGCCGCGAGGAACGTAGATTATCGTCGCCGTATCGTCGCGATGTAGGTGTACGTAGGTCACGGTCACCATATAACCACGATACATCCCAGAGTCCTGTATCGTTAGAGGGAAATAGGGATAGAGAGGTAGGTCGCTCATCCCGAGAGGGAAAAATAGGGGTATGGAACGCCTAGCGGAAGCATTAGAGAGTATGGTACGATTCAGACCAGCCGCCGCGAAGCAAACGCAGGACTTGCCTATTTTCAACGGCTCGGCCGCGAAATGTTTAGTGTTTAAAGCCACGATGAAAGAATCCACTCGTTTGTACGGATTCACAGACACGGAAAATATGGCAAGGTTAAAGAAACTTTTTACGTGGTGAGGCTAGGGAAGTAGTATCGGCACAACTCGCGTCAAACCGTTCAGGATTTAAATCCTGAACGGTTTGACGCGTTTAAACGCGTTCGCAATTAGGTTACAGAATATCGTCTGTATTATGAAAAACGTCGACGGCATTGAGTTATATTTACTACGGACTAAAGAAGTAATTCCGAACATTGACTATGTTCAACTGAACTGTAGTGCAATCCCTACTAACTAAATATTGCGTAAATGGAAGATTTGTGAATTCCATAAAATAATTATTATTAAATTTTATTTAGAAATATAACATGTTTGTTTAGATGAAATTAAGATATTTTATATTAAATTCTTATATTTATTTTATATTAATATCTTATTTTATATCAAATTAAAGTCTTGCGCGCGGAAGTAGTAGTCGCGCATGCGCGAAAACATAGAGTAGGACACAGTTTTTGTTTGAAATGGCTTCTCTAGTAAATAGTACATATAACTCTATGGTCGACGGTAAATCAATCTACAAAATCAATTTACAAAATCCGATGCTCACTAGGGAGGTCACAAGTAAACTTAGCCCTCATTTACGGTCGCGTTGGTGTGATTACGCGGAGCACTACGGAAGTGCTGACGAACCGGATATCGTCACGCTATCACGGTTTATGATGAGAGAGGCTGACCGCGCGTTAAGCATGCCTATACGTCCGCAGCGCCTACTAGGGAAGCTCCCGTAAAAAGAAAAGCGCCGCCGTCGAAAAAGCTAAGGCCTGAATTCCTCCTACGTTGACGTCGGTTGCGTACGGTCGGTCGCGTACAGCGTGCAGCAAACTACGCGCCGCTGTCGTCAGCGTCGCAGTGTGAGGCTAAATACATCGACCGACGTACGCGACCGATGTCTGCGTAGGAGGAATTCAAGCCTATAGTCACGCGCCGCGTAGAGGATAGGCCCCGCGATGTAAGGACGTTCACCACCCAAGAGGACAACGAAAGTGTCCAGTGTTTGTGTTGTGGGCTGAACACGTAATCAGTAAATGTAGGAAACTGGTACAGATAGACGTGGATAACCGGTGGAAGTGGGTGAAGGAAGGGAGAGTTTGTTTTAAGTGCCTAAGCAGCAAGCATCGACGTCTGAGGTGTAAAGCCAAGTGCGGTATCGATGGCTGCAAAGCCCCTCATCACGCGTTACTTCACGCCCACAAGACTCAGACACCGGAAACATCTGCCAAACCAGACGAAACAGTGCTCGTCGCGTCGAATACGGCTAATAGTGTGTCAGTGCTATTAAAAGTGTGACCCATTATCGTGCGCGGACTATGTGGTAAGGAGATCGAGACTTACGCGCTCCTCGACGAAGGGTCTACAATATCATTGATCGTCGACGAATTAGCTCGCGAGTCAGGTACGGAAGGACCGCCGAAGCCATTGAACATTCGAGGTGTATCGAATAGCCAACGTGAGGCTAAAAGTCGATTAGTCACATTAGAGATACGCGGGAAAACAAAGAACAAAACATATAATGTACGTGCGCGAACGATAAATAATTTGACAGTAAGATCGCAATCTGTGGGTAAAGAGTAACTACGCTTAAAACACTTACGCGGTTTACCGAGCGAGATATGTTATAACGACGCGAAACCGAAGATATTAATAGGGTCAGATGATTGACATTTGATTTTCATGCGCAATTTACGAATAGGACGTCGTAAGCAACACATCGCCGCTAGCACGTTGCTAGGATGGATATTACAAGGGAGCGCGCCGCGTGTAATGTGTAAACAAGACGGCGAACATATTACACATCTCGAACGTCAACGGGCGGTTGGATAGAGATGTTAAGACGTTCGCCAAACCGTATGAGGA